GATGGGTGTTAATGAACATGATACAGACCAGTCCTGGGGGGGGCAGTGTGGGCTGCGAGAGAGCTTACAGGCCGACCGTACAGGAGACCAGTCAGAATCCCAGTGTTCCATTATAAATTTTTGTGAGCACTTCTGTAACTTTTTGGAATTTTTTGTCACTGATTATCCACTGTTTTGGGGCAATAAAATCCTGACCAACAGGCGTAGTTCAGGAGTAGCGGTAAGTTATCAACTACAGGCAGCCAATAAGATACTCGGAGCATTTGTAACTGCAACCAGTGACCAGTATGTGTTGGTGGCATAAGTATTCTGCAGGAAAATGACCTTCCACACAACCCACTAACACTCAGGATGTCAGTCTGATTCAAGCACTGTATGAATTGGTAGTTTAAACAGTTTAAGGTGTTTTTTTTTTTTACCTATTTCAGTTTCAAGTTAAGTGATATTGAAATCTAAAAAGAGAATGTTCAGGTACACTTATACAGCATCTACTGAATGGAACAGTTCATGGTATGATGAACCATAGATTTTGCCACAACTTTTCTGAGGGACATCTCAGATTTTGCCCAAGGAAATTTTCTTCTTTGAAGTCCTTCCTTTCAGTCTGAATTTCATCTATTAATTACTCAGTCACCTATGTACACTTTGTGATTAGAGAGTTTAGCTGGCAGTTGGTGAGTCCTATTGACTGAAGCCACGTAAACATCAATTAGCCACATACAAAACATTCAGCTACATACAGAAGTTCAGAAACTCTACAGGGACACGCGTTGCACTGGGCGCTCATGTATACGACGTGAACTGTATGCATTTTAACCAAATTTATTTCTTATCAAGTCTAACATTTCAATTTTTTCTCACATTTTACTTTATTTTTTGTCTTTGCTTTGGCTGTGACACAGATCGTGATGTGCTTAAACTAAAGGAAAAAGTTTACGTCAGTATCAGAAATCACCAGCTGTGAAGGTGTATCTGAATTCATATAAATATATATGTTGCCTCCCTGCATTCGTTTCCTGGTTATAAACGAATGTGCCATGGGGGGTTTCTGCTGTGACCCTTGGTAATAAAGTTACAGTTATATTCTATAGTTTCAGACATTATTGGTCAGATTGTTGTTTTTTCAGTGCCCGTTTAGCTGCAAGCATTATTTTGTAAGATTAGAGTCCTTTTTGATGGCTCATGGTTTTCACTAAAATGCACAAGTTAGCCATCACCAAACTCCCTGTTTTCACCGCAGTTCGGTTGACGTGTATCCGTCTGACAGCCTTTACGGAAAAAGCATATCTGGTTTTTAGTCCAAGCAATGTTTTTTTTAAAAGATATTTGGGAATTACTTCTATTTTAAAAGTGACTCCGTGTATTTTTGGAAATCTTGACACAAGTCAAAATGCCTCACCATGCTAATGATATGTCACAGCTCCCCCAAAAGCTGAATTGCAGGCCTCAGGTCCTCCCTCTTCAGTATGTGGGATGTCCTGACTCGACCAGATTGGACTGTAAAACGCTGACGTTCCCAAAAACTCCCAGCCTGGGCTTTTACCGCTTTTACAGGCTCTGTATAATTGCCCTTACAGTTTATCCTATGAAGCGTCAACGGTTTTGTTGTGGAATGCTTAGGCGCTGTATAAGAGGGAGGAGCTTAGTAACTTGGATGAACTTCATCTGCAAGGTGAACACATGAGTGTTTATTATAAGTAATACAGTAAAATCCCGTTGTAACGGACATCAAGGGACCTGGCAAAACAGTCCACAATGTGTATCCAGAGTTGCTGTTCGCCTAGAACACAACTACAGGACACCATTTACTCATGCCACACCCCAGCAGACACACTTGTGGTATAGATTATTATATTGTACATGTAGTAATCCAACTTTACCTGACCAGATGCATGACTATTAATAATCCCGACTACGTACGTATCTGCGCTGGATGTCACCGGCACGCCACGCGCCTTCTCGCCGGAGCCTGCATGTCCGTTATAGCCGAACAAAACTACAGCTAAAAGCGGCCCTGGGGACCAAATTGTTTGTCCGTTATAAGCGAAATTCCGTTATAAGCAAGTCCACTATAACAGGATTTCACTGTATTCAGTTCAAGGAGTCATTTGCAGGGACCTGTGTATGCTGTGTGACCCAGCAGGCTAAGCCTCTGTGTCTGTGATCAGAAGGTCGCTGGTTTGAGTCCCGGCCTCAGCAGAACAGTAACATGTCCGTGGGCCCTTGAGCAAGGCCCTTAACTGCCAGCTCCAAGCATGCTGCCCGCTGGCTGATCAAGCTCTTTCACCCTTCGTAAGCTCGCTCTCATCTGTCTGTCTCACATACAGCAAGACGGGGTAGGAATGAAGGGAATTTCCTCACAGGGACTAATAAAGTATCACTCTTTTATTCTGCACTTCCATACATCACAGGTAGAGGGCGCTAGTATTTAAACATTTCCATAAATAACGTTTGTATTGGAGCTGTGGTTTTTCCCACCGTCTCCCTGGAAGACATGAAAATCATACCCTCCCCCATTACTGTAGCCAAGCTCAAAGGAGATGCCAGCACAGGCTTCTGAAGAACTGTTATTTACATGCAGACAACACAAACTGTTGCCTTGAGTGAACCACAGGGCTCTGCTGCAAGTGTATCTGTATTGGAGGACATAACAGAGATTACCGAGTAGTGACTGGGAACTACACAGGACTTTGCTGAGTCAAAAATAAGTGCTGATTTGTAGAATGGAACTCATGTATGGCCTTCCATGACGGATAACCTTAATGTCGAGACAAACACAATTAGCGTTCAGAAAATTGTGGCTGAATGGTGCAAGATGTTAATTGTACGAAGTTCAGCAGAACACCAGATACCTGCACAGTAAATGTGCCTTCCCATTTATGAGATTGCATAGCATACTCAAGCTTGATCTTGACTAAGTATTATAGTGTAATGTGCATGTGAATGGATGTATGATATGTATATTTGTGTATATGTGTGAAATATCAAAAGGCATTTCTTTTTTGTCTTCTAAGTAGCGATGAACTTTCCTCTCGATTTCATGATGCTGGTTGTGAGTGTGTGGAGCAGTTCCAGAAGGGTTTGGACTTTGTGGCTGATGCTGAAGATAAGTCTTGTCCAGTAAAGATGGCCAAAATGGATTTTAACAGACCACATATAGTTGGCTTTGAGATACAGATCTCACATGTCATTACGACATCATAGAGATATGCGAAGTTAACTAATTACAGATGAACTGCTAATGGGATGTTGAGCGACCAGAATTCGTCAAATTGGGATGTGAACGAAGGCTATCCTATCTGGCACAAACCAACAGAAGGGCTACTGTGGCACAAAGGGGAGATAATTTTGATGATGATCGCGGGAGTAATGTATCACGGCACACAGGACAGAGATGTTGACGAGACACAAAATTAAAGTCCGGGTCAAATCTGAAGTCTCCATTGTGGTTCCAATTTGACATTACTATTTATAAAAACTTTAACCGCCGATTTGTTTGTTTCTATTAGTAACTGATGTGACTGAATGGGAATCAGCTAAAAAACTGCTTGTCTCATAGTTCCTCGGGCTTATATACATTTTCAAAGTAATCCCTATTTCAAATGCCTTTGAAGCAATACAATTTTTGGAAGAACCTAAGCACTTTTGTAATGTAGATTTTAAAACTAATACTTTCTCAAAAATAACATTGATGAAAACATCCCTTGAGCAGAACACTTTAACATTTTTATGAGCAAAACTTTAATTAGTGTGAACAATCACAAACATTGCCGAAAGAGGGTCCAATCTTGGCAGCAACAATCAACTGTGTACACACACACACGCACACGCAACTGAAACCTTTCCCGATATAATTCACAAAAGATAAGCTTCCTGTGTACAAGGCAGCCAGACCAAACCATGCCGGACTCCGCCCTCAGCTATGGTAATGTGATGTGATTGGATAATGAATGAGTACAACCCAGACCCTGTTTCTCGTGCCGCTAAAGTAAATGCATGTTAAAGTAAATCGCGATTTTTATTTTAATGTATAAAACTGATTTGTCTTTCAGCTTGTGTCAAAAAATAATGTGTTGCAAATCGAGTTGGGAGTCACGTTAAGAGTGACTCGAGTGCATCTCGAGTTCGAGTCGCGAACTCAAGTCCCAATCTCTGACAGCGCATTGACTCCGTTGCGTACGGGCCGATGCAACTGCAGACCAGTCAGCGTGCCCATGCTGACCCCTGTCCACCTTTGAAAACTCCTACAAGGGCCATGTAAATGTTGGAACTGGGCCTTGGAGCAATGGAAGAAGGTCGACTGAATCCCATTTTCAGATGCATCATGTAGACAGCCGAGTATGTATTGAGCATCCGTGGGATCCGTTGGACCGGCAAGTCCGATAGACAGCAACGTAGCCCCATCCACAGCAGTGCTCTATACAACGTGTGTCGTGATACATTACTCCCAGAAACATGTTTAGCGGGTCTCTCTAGTGATGAAAAATAGGCAAAATGATGAACAGAACACAGAAATATAACCCAAACGTTTCTGTATTATCGATTAGGTTTTATAAGAGCTGAGGCCAAATTGATATTGGAATTTATGCATTGAATAGACCTTAAATGGTCTGTGCATATTTCAATGATAATGTTAAAAGTAAACTAAAGGCTATTGCTGTTGGATTAATCCATGAATTGGCCTGTTTATTTCAAAGCAATGCAATATTTAAATGAGAATGTTTTAGTGTATTGATGTGGTATTGCTTCCTATGTACGAAAGCTGGGGTTAAAGTCAAAATTTTAGTATTCAACTCTATGCTGGATTCCTGGTTACTGGATAAGTAATTAGGAGATCTGCGGATGGTTTTCCTTGATGTGTAGGGAAAGATGGGTAGCAGATGTTGTGCTTCAACACACGATTTACTTGTATGGTTAGAAGGTCAACAGAAGTTCTGGGATGAAAACCTACCATGTCTGGCAGTGCCTTGGGTCTCATGTACCTTCTTGTGTCTCCTCAGTGATGGCCGACAGTGCACAGTGCCGCTCAATCCCTAAGCTCTGAGAGCGACGGTGTGGACCTCTTGCCCCACTCTGCCAAGGGTGGAAGTTCACCATGTACAGTGTGGAGGACCTCCTGATCTCCCATGGATACAAGCCACCGAGGAACAATGCACCCTCGTCCAGCGAGGGTCGCCGTCTTGAGGTCGCAGAGAGAGGGTCAACCTCAGACAGCCATGGGAAAGTGGACTGCCATAGGGAGGATACCAGCGAATATGGGGAGAGGAACTGGAAAAGCAAGGAAACCAGTAGCAGTGAGGTAGAACTCCAGGGAGACTACAGGTGAGACCATTGCATACCATCAATGACAGGCAAGTTCATTGCTCTGAAGCCCTTGGGGGTGACAAGATAGTTTTTCAGACAAAAAATGAGATATCGCCTTTAAGAATAGTCGCCCCTCCAGATTCTCAAATTTCACATTCATGGTTTGGGTTGTCCGTGAATTGGCCGTGAACAATTAAATTGGGGTATTTTTGGAGCTTGTGGAAAGAAGCTTGCAGACGACACATAAGCCGAAAGGGGTATCTACAGTAGTCGAACATCATGAGCACCATGACCTCAAAGCACACCTCAAACCGTACACGTATCTCTGTGTTCTGCGTAGGACAGGATCTTTTATTCTGTCAGGCTGCTCTGACCAGCTGCCTCTTATAACATACAATAGAGTCAGTTCATTATTATTTAGGAATGATGCTCAGTTAATGGAAAATGTTATGTAATGGATCACTTATAAGTGAGTGTGATTATACTCTAATCTTTAGTTGTTCCAAACTTCCCTATTTTCTCACATAAAGCTGTCTCTTCATTGATGACAAGGTGTCAGGATAAACAGGAGAGATAGAAGCATGCTTCCAGGAGTCGGAGGGTTGATTTGTCTGGAAATGTCTGATTGAAGTTTTTGGGAAGTTTAGCAGCTCATGGATGACAAGCTAAGGAGCTACGAGGGCAAGGTGAAGCATTAAAGACAGATCAGCCAAGCAAGACATCAATGTAGTAACCAGACTGTCGAAGCCATAGAAGCTCTACAAATAATCAGGTGTTTTCACACAATTCAAGTTAATCAGGAATAGTTTATTGCCAGATACCTCACAGTCTTGAAAGGGCTGAGGAAGAGTACTGCAGAACTGAGTTGGCACCTGGAGCAGTCTCAAATGCTCTATTGTCAACATACATGGCTTGCCTTCCACTGTGAGATAAGGTATAACGCATGGAGATTATGGGAATGTTATCAAAGGTCACCAAGTGTGCCCAAGACACAGGGGAAACTACAGCTTTTGTCAGTATGGCTGGAGATATGGATATGTAGGACGTCCAAGAGGGGACTGGTTTATTTAAGAATCTGCAGAAAGGAGGATTGGGAAAATCACCAAATGGGGGTCTGTGAATGCTGGTTCAGCCATAGTGAGTGGGCATGGGTCCCTTGGTGACAGATTAGGGTGGTGGTGCTCTCCTTAGGGTGCTCTCCTTAGAGTGTTCCCTTTAGGGTACTCCCCTTAGGGTGTTCCCTTTAGAGAGCTCCCTTTAGGGTACTCCCCTTAGGGTGTTCCCTTTAGAGTGTTCTCCTTAAGGTGTTCCCTTTAGAGTGTTCTCCTTAGGGTGTTCCCTTTAGAGAGCTCCCTTTAGGGTACTCCCCTTAGGGTGTTCCCTTTATAGTGTTCTCCTTAGGGGGTTCCCTTCTGAGTGCTCCCTTCAGGGTACTTGCCTTAGCATGCTCGTTTTAGGGTGCTCCCCTTGATGTGGTGCTGGAGAAACAGCATAAGCAGGTAACTTACCCTGGGTCTTCTCCCTGATGCTTTATGTTGCACTGGGGAAGACAGTCACCACCCCTGATTGGGGTAATTAATAGACACCGGCCGAGTCTTATCAGTCTACCCCACGGGTGGTTTCTGGGCTAACCGTGTAAAGCCTATTGCCACTGTTAGTTGGTGAGGTTCTGAAACAGGACTGTTGGTGGGTGGTGGATTCCCAGTGGGTCACCAATTCACATCCTTCCAGCAGTAGACTGGCAATGCTCTCAGGAGGAATAGTCTTTGCAAAACTGGACCCTAGATCTGGATTTTAGGAAATTCCATTGCCTTCCTGACCACTACCTTCACTGGTTTCATTTGGCACCCTGCTTTGAAAAGAGTTATTTTCTGTGCAACCAAACAATCCTGCCCAAGGACTGGTAGAGTGAGAGGGCATGATATGCTATGCATGCACCTTGTGTACATCAAGAATCTGGAGGAGGACAATACCAGGCTATACTGTATTCTCCAAAGACTCGGGCATGACTAACCCTGAAGGACAAGTGAAGGTTTGCCAAAGACAAAATAATGTTTGTAGGCTACATAATCACCTCTGCAGCGTTAACTCCCAGAGCCATTTTGGAGAGTATGGAATGTGGTGTTGCAGAGTGATGGCCACGGCAACTACCAGAAGAAGTTTCTTTTTCTTTATAACTTTTTATTTTTATTTTCATTAAACAAACAACAAAAACAAGGACAGGGCCTGCAGTTAAGAAAAGAAAGCAATCTCTCCAAAACCAATCAATCATTCATCCCTCTCTTCAGCCACTTATCCCAGTCAACCTCAAACATTTCTCCAGAAGAAGTTTCTGCCCCCCTTTGCATCATTTATGAGGTCACTGCAAGATCTTCCCTCAGTGATTCTGAAGGAGGCCTTAACAGCCACTCCAGCATCTGAATATCTATCCTCTTATCTGCCCAGTCTGAAGTTTACACTAGAGACTGGTCACAAGTCTCTGCTGTTCCTACAGAGCACCAGAGCACTGAAAGGACTTCCTCCTTGAATTCTGGGGTTTACATGGAGGCTGATCTTATATGACACTGTGCACTTACTCGGTAAGCAGTTAATTACAGGAGACACCTTAAACTGAGCACCAGTGAAGTACACTTCCACTCAAGCAGAGAAAGAACAGGTGGCTGATGTCAAAGTGTATGTAGACTCTTGTACGATGTTACATAAGAACATAAGAAATTTACAAACGAAAGGAGGCCATTCGGCCCATCAAGCTCGTTTGGGGAGAACTTAACTAATAGCTCAGAGTTATTAAAATCTTATCTAGCTCTGATTTAAAGGAACTCAGGGTTTTAGCTTCCGCTACAGGAGCAGGAAGACTATTCCATACTCTAACTACACGCTGTGTAAAGAAGTGTTTTCTCAAATTCAGTTTAAAATGTTCTCCCACTAATTTCCACCTATGGCCATGAGTTCTAGTATTTAAACTAATATTAAAGTAGCCATTTGGCTGAACAGCATCGAGACCTGTTAGAATCTTATATACCTGGATCATGTCCCCCCTTAGTCTCCTGTGCGTGAGGCTGAACAGATTCAGCTCAGCTAACCTCTGAATATAAGACATTCCTCTAAGACCAGGAATCATTCTTGTAGCCCTACGTTGAACCTTTTCCAAGGCAGCAATGTCCTTTTTAAGGCATGGTAACCAAACCTGCACACAATATTCTAGGTGAGGTCTCACCAAGGAATTGTATAATCGTAGCATCAACTCCACACACCTAGAGATATCCAACATTCTATTGGCCTCTTTTATTGCTTCCCCACACTGGCGAGAGTGGGACATGGAAGCATCAACATACACACCGAGATCTTTCTCGTAATCAGCTACCTTTATTTCAGTGGAACCCATAAAATATCTGTACTTTATATTTCTGCTCCCTGCATGGATTACCTTACATTTATCTACGTTAAATTTCATCTGCCAGGTATCAGCCCAGTCGCTAATTAAATCAAGATTGTAGCCTCTGTGCTGCAAATTTAGTATCTGCTACACCACCCACCTTGGTGTCATCTGCAAACCAGTTTACTGTATGTACTGGTGTCAATATAATAATTTTAACGAATTATTAAAATAATAATTTACATTAGGAACAATAATGGTCCTAAAATTGAACCCTGCGGTACCCCACTATGAACGCAGGCCCACAGCGACATTGTGCCTCTAATAACTACTCGCTGCTTCCTGTCTGTTAACCAGTTTTCGATCCAAGCTGCTACAGTTCGTAAAATCCCTGCAGCTTTGAGCTTAAGCAAGAGCCGTTTGTGGGGGACAACATCAAAGGCCTTCTGGAAATCTAAGTAGATCACATTGTAGGCTTCTTTGTGATCAATTTCTCGTGTAGCTTCCTCAAACTACTGAAGCAAAGCAGAAGCAAATAATAGCCAGAAAACTTCTGTGTTATTACTGCTTTGGAGGTGGGTGACCAGAGAAATCCCTCCTCCCGTCAGAGCTTGGAGCATACTGGCCCAAGAGAAGCTGGCAACTCTTCCTCAGAGGAAAACCAATAGTCATTCCCACTTCCGTGAGAGATTCCATCCTCAACATCCTACATGAAGCCCACTGTGAAACACAGAACCAGAGATTCCCAGTTGGTTTGGTAGCCAATCCTGTGGTTTCAGGTTTTCTCCTAAATTTAAGCATAAGTAACACAACACGCTGGCTTGATGGGCAAGACTGCAGCCTCACACCTCCTTCACTCTGGCTTTGATTCTTTCCCCAAGCAATGTATGTGTGCAGTTTTCGCTCAGTCCTCTGGTTTCCTAATGCAGACAAAAAACACAGTGTTTTTTTTAGTTTGCATAACGTGACTGTGTGTTCCCCTGTCATAGATGTGTAATGTGTCCAGGATTTCCCCAGGCATGTGCCCAGGCATATTGGGACCCTGTGATCGTTTGAAATACCGGTATCGGTATCATATCACAACACCAAAAAGTGGTATGATACTATCATTTTACAGATTTCGGTATTTAAGAAGTTATGTTACATAGTGATTGTGTCCCCTGTGCTTTGGGGAGAGAGAGAGACACACTCGTCTCTTGTGGGGAGATGCCACACAGGTGGTAGCTGGAAACCGCTGTTGCCCACTGCCCACCGCTAGCCAATAAGCAGGGCGGCAGAAGTGACACATGGTGTTATTTTGGTGTTTAACAGAACGACAAGGGTGAAGTTTGCAGACCCGACAGTATGCAATCGTGGGTACGAGGGGGCGGCATGTACTGTAGAGCCTGGCGAAGGGTCCGTCTCTTGCTCACCCTGATTTATATAAGGAGTTTAACGATAAGTTTTAATACATGTTAGTGATGTAATTTGGCGGTTGTTTCTGAGCCTGTATGCGAGTTCATTCTCATCCCCTTTCCCAATGAGAAAACGAACGCAAAGCTAAATGACGGATAGGACACAGAAATATAGCCCTAACGTTACTTCATTATCGATGAAGTGTTATAACACACTTGGTGACCAGAATCTTTGCAATGAATGGAGTTTAATTAATCTATGCATATTTCATTGGCAATGTTAAAACTATATTATAGGCTTTTGCTGTTTAATACATATCAAAGCAATATAATATTTTAATGTTTTACAGTATTGATTTAGTATTGATTTGCTATGGATATCAAAGTCAGTGGCATTTTGGCATTGATTCAACTCTAGACCCTGTTCTGGATACACGTTGATATACATTAGGTAAGACTGATGCTTAAAACTTTGAGTTTGGGATGACTATTTTGGTCAAATTTCAAAATTTGGTTTACGTTTATTTTTGAACATTCTTTTGATGACGAATGATCTAGGAAAATGTGTTTTAAGTGTTTAAAAATGGAAAAAACAAGTAAAATACACATTCTGAAGTTTCATGAGAATAGGTTCAACAGGATAGTACCTTGTGTCATACTGGAACCAGGAGACAGATTAGGGTGACATTTAACCCACAATAAGCTTCCCAATCTTCAACTGGCCTAGTCTGAGATTTATGGACTAGCTGTATGTTCCCCATTTATCTGTATTTATGAGAACCTCACCTCTTACTGAAATTTATCATTAGTATAAATATGTAAGCAATCTAACTTTTGGTACTACGTTGCAGGTCCTGTGACGGAAAGCTTGGAACGACCTGCCAGCCAAAACCCAAAAGAGACTTGAACTACTGGAGAAGGAGGGGCCAGGATTTCAGTGTCCTGCTGAACCACGCCGATATGCGGGGGCCACATGGGGCAGAGTACAGGGTTCAGCCACAGGGCTGGGATGAGGCGGGGTGGCCCAGGACGAAGGTGGCGGAGGGACAGGAGCCACGGAGGACAGTGGCAGACAGGAAGTGGCAGAGCTTGGGGACAGAAGAATGGAGGCCGGCGGTAGGCCTGGGGCAGCAGCTGTTTGATGGAGAGAGCGAGAGATGGGCTCGAGAGCAGCACTACACCAAGGCTGCAGAGAGTTCCGTCCACTCCAGAAGCAAAGGGAAATCCCAGTCTCTCCCCAGGGAGCTCTTATCAGAGAGCCTTCAGGCCATGCCCATCATAGGCAGCCAGCACGTCGATGCTACCACCTTCCTCGGACCTTACGGTAAACACAACAAATGTATGAGCAGCGAAGGCTTGCTGGCAGAAAGGTATCGGCCAGCTGTCCACGCTTCCCTCTTGCCCCGGTTCGGCCGACCGGTCAAGCCACCTTCCTACGACGCCCACCAGCAGACGCGGAACAGCTCCGAAATGCTCGCCGGAGACCAAGGGCCCAGGTGCAGATCCGGGGACAAGTTGGGCGGTTGGTCGAAGACTGGGGAGATGAGGCAGGACAGCTTAACATACCAGCCTGCAGGCTCTGGATTAGGGCCTCCAGGGTATATTCCTCCACCTTCCTACAAGAGGCCATTGAATCAGAAGAGGGATCAAAAAAACTACGATGAAGTTTCCCACTTCCGATTGAAGGGGGATTTGCATCCAGGCACTTGGGAGGCATTGAAGTGGTACTCTAGGCCAAGGGGAGGTTCTTGGATAGACTACCAGGGAAACAGAAGTGTTCCTTGCCAAAAAATGACTAACCCGGGGTACTGGGATCAGCATCTAGGATGTGTGCAGTACTTGCCGTTCAATGACCCACGTTTGCGACACATCTCAGGTGGACAGTGTGGGAACTCTCTGACCGACGCAGACAAGATCAGAAACATCCACCGAGAGATTCCCAATGCTAAAGTGTTAGAACAGTCTTCTCATGATAGTGCCTTTCTCCCCAACGAGGGGCTAATTCCCAGCACAGATGTTAGCAAAATATCAGTTAATGAGAATGACAGCAGCAGTGGGTGGTATGGTGGCTTGCACAGTGGGAATGATAATCCCATCACATTTGACCAAAACTGTAACGAGTATCACAGAGAAATACAGACAGCAAAACTCAGGCAGAATGGAAGTGCAGACCAAGAGTTCTCTGATTCATCAGCACAGCTGAAGAACATTTCACCAGATGCAATGGAGACCACAAAACCAGTAAAACGGAAATCCGAGACCATATTCTGCCTGGTTTCAGTTCCTGTTCATTTGCAGTCTAATAGGAAAAATTCTGATCAGAATAACAACGAAACTCTGCCAGACCCAGCAGAACAAAGTGCTCCCAGCACTGAAAGCATGGACCATTTGCAAAACCAAAGTCTCCAAATTACATCCTCCACAAGTCTGGAGCTGCCACTACCTTTAAATGGTGCGACAAATAGGATATCTATAGGGAAGTCCAGTCTGAAGGAGTCAGTACCAACAAAGTCCCTCCAGCCCAGCAAACACATTGGCCTGCGATACTCCAGCTCCTGGCCTGGAGATCAGTACAGAGACCAGGAGACACAGACCTCCTCCTCAGAGGCCACTGAGGGTTCTTCTCACAGCTGCTTGAGTTTGCAAGCACAAGACCAGGGCCAGCCTGTCTCTGACACCAATGTGGAAGGAAGCCTTACGACAGACTATAGCAGCATGTACAGTTTTCATGCCATGAAGGGCCAGAAGACCCTGCAGCCCTCTAGTAACAGTGCTTTCTCCAAGACCTCAACATACTCAGATTGGCTTAACAGGAGCACAGATCCAATGGGACGTCCGACTAGGAAGCAGAAAGAGAAAGACAGCCTCTTGGTGCGAAATATAGAAGCTGTGCCTGCTCTATGCAATGGTGAAGAAGCCTTTGGTCAGTTCATGCTGAAGCCGGTTGGTCGACGCCCATGGGATGCAATTGAGGAACTTGAATCATTCAACAAGGAGCTTCAGGACCAGTTCAGCCAAGAAGTCAGCGTTGACAAGTGCATGGAAGACATCGACGCGGCATGCAGAGACCTTTTGGAGTGCAGGACCATCGGCAATAACACTGGAAACGACAAAGTGCCGGTCCGCAAGCTAGCAAAGGAAAGCAGGTTATCTGCGGAATCTCACAAGAAAGCTACATCCGCATTCCGCAGCAGGACTGCCGTTGGCGATCCACAATACAGGGAGGGGAAGAGTGCATTTTCCAGACCCGTGGCTAAGGCGGTGAGCTTTAGCGACCATTTGCAGAATGATGTTCTTGTCCAGTCAGAAGGTAGCTTTGCAAACTATAGAACTCCTGGTCAGATGATAAAAAAGACTGAACCCAAATGGGTTTCTAAACCAAGTGTCCCCGTGTCTCTAAACAAAGATGTCGGTTTTACCGAACTGCCTTCCAGTAATGTGCAGTGGGCCGCAAAGGAGCCTGTGCACGATGTCTCTGCACTGTCATACCCTCCTGAGTTTGAGGATTTTTGTCATTCCTTACAGTTGACACATGAATCTGAAGCCTGGACCACCACAGTTCCAGTGAAATCAAGACCTCTAGACATGGATGTAATATCTCAGGATTCGTGCAAGGCCTTTAGTTCTGATTCCAAACAGGAGAGCTGGTTTTCTACAACAGAGACAGAAGGGACAGGAAAGAACCGTATCCCACGTTTCAGTGGGGTGAGGAGTGTGAATGTGCTGAAAAGTCACAGGCTTCGTGGCCAAGGGGGTCCCATCTGGATTGTGAGTAACAGGCTAACCGAAGAAAAGAACTCGAAAGGAGTAAGTGTTACAACTAGTGACTGGAGGAGTCAACTGTCATTATCGGAGGAGCACCTGGAGAGTCTCCATATCAAAGCGAAAACAAATAGCATGCCAGAGGATCTGAGCACTCTGTATGAAGTGAAATGTGCTGAGGGCATTCCAGAGAATGAGCCGATAGAGCAGAGGGCGGCCCGGATATTGGGAATAGAAGTGCCCGCAGAGTCTTTATTTGTGGTGGACCAGAAAGGAGAGAGAGAGATGATTGAAAGTTCAGGGAAGGGTGTGGCTTTCCCCAGCCAAGAAGTTCCGGAGACAAGTGGTAGTGAAAATCAGAACTTAATCACACAAAGTAAAGAGGTTAAAGATACACAGGCTAATGAAGAGGAGCTGGATGTGGAGCTGGCCGTCCCCACTGGTGAAGACGGCCTAGTTACACTGACAGCTGGGGATAGCTCGGGGAACTGCCTGGATCTCGATCCAGGACTTCCAGATGAGCTCCTGGGAGATGAAATTAAAATGTGCGCGGCTATCAGTGATGACGACGAGTCTCAGAGGGTTGGCGACATCTACCAGAACCACAGTGGCCTCTCCATGACACCTGAGATGTTACAAGATTTGAACAGCACATTATCCTGCCAAACAGATCCAGAGAGGGTCAGGGAAGCTCAGCAACCCCAGTCAAGACACCTCATTTTTAGAAGCTCTGAAGGGGACGTGGAAGATGGGACCAAGAGGGAAGAGCAGCTGGTGTCAGAGGACTTCTCCCGGACTCGCCGACCGTCCCGTGGGGGCACGGTCGCCAAGCGAGAGATCACGCTGGACCTCTGTTACCCACCTGACAGTACTCTGATGCAAGACATGGAAATGCCATCCTTCTCAGGTCAGAACGGGCAGCGTGAGCCGCGTCAATGTTCATGTTGCACTACTTTTTGTATATAGGATCATATTTTTGAAGTCTTATGAAAGGAAACTTTGTAACAAAGTTATAGATATTCATTGCTTTATGACAAGGTGTCCTTGGGGAAAATTTATAATTCAGTCATAAATCAGACTTACGTACATTTTCAGGTAGGTCCAACTTGATTAGTCCCATTTTTTATGCCAGGGGTCTCCAACTCCGGTCCTGGAGGGCTACTATCTAGTAGGTTTTCTATCCTACCCGGCTTCTGATGAGTCACACTAGTTCTCAGGTAAATACCAGGAGCAGGTGTGACTCATCAGAAGCCAAGTGGGACAGAAAACCTACTAGATAGTAGCTCTCCAGGACCGGAGTTGGAGACCCCTGTTTTATGCTGACATGAAATATGTAATAGCAAAATGGTTTTAGAAATAGGTGCATTGGGAGAAGAGAAGGATAAAGGAAGTATCGTTATGAATATTACTTACGCTTTACATGCCATTTGGTTTTGCCTTGTGGTCCGATGACAGACACAGTATCCATAACCAAAAGGAATGATTGTCATAGTTCTGAAATTTTGCCTGTAGTGAGCTACTTCTGTCACTAGATGGGGATGTTCTCCATTTTTTTTCAACGCTAATCGCGGTCAAACATTTTTTTTTTCAGTGTTAATTCATGTTCCCGTGGTCGTTTAGGCATTAATTTTCACGGGTGCATGTAAACTTGATGCTGGGTTGGAATAAACCTAGCTAGAGATTGTACTTTTTTGATTAGAGTGGTAGATTTTATTGTCGTTGCTGTTGGACCAGTAAGAGACAGATTATTGGCAGATTTGACTACGTCTATAGAGTTTTTATAAACGATTCATAATGTTCTTTTTCTCATGCTTTGTGTGCTTTGTGACTTCTGCCCGCCTTTTGTAGGTGTTTCAGCTGCGGTTTGTCTCGCGGGATCTGCCCTAACAGTGTGCTGTACCCCCCCCAGACCCGTATGACCCCAGCCACGTGGAGAGAGTTTAGCCCCAAATCGCCACCTCACCCGGAGATGGAGTCCCCGCACTGTGACGCTTCTTCTTCCCCACAAGAACCACCCCCCCATCTCGTCCCCATGGCTCAGCAATGGCCTTCTTATTCGAGATAAGCGATGTTCACGCTCCTCTCCAGGCTTAAGAACTGTTCCACGGCCGACACGGAGTAGGCCCCCCCCCACATATGGCCATGTTGACTGGCCAGCGTTATGCAATTACACTGCACAGTCATGAGTCCTCTATCCCCTGCCCTAATCTCCCTGAAGCCAACACGACAGAGAGTTCGTCTCCAGCAAGACCGCGAGCCCCCGGTTCTCCAGACGATCCGGCCGCGTCACCGTCACAGTTACCAGTGACAGAGCTGGAAAGTTTCGCGGATTCTTGTTTGTTTATATTTAATTGGCTATAATAATCATGCTCCACTCTTATGTGCTTCAGTTCTGTATCACAAATCCCACCGAAGCTGAAGCCGTTTCTGAGTGTGGGAGGTGCGGGGCTTTTGGGTATTGCCACGTAGGGAATGTGGAATTTATGACTCTGGCCATAATAAATGACTGGGGGGGGGGGGGGGGGGCACCCAAATGACAAGCAAATTACTTTTCACAGAGTATTTATTTTAATTGCATCTAAATCCTAATCAAGCTATACAATGTAAAAATTAAAGGATATTTTAACTATTTTTGTATTTAACCATACTTTATTTACCCACTTTAATCAAGCTGGAAATACATTATGCCTGTATATTACAGTAGTTATATATTATGAAATATATAATTTTATAGAACAGTGAATGGGGAAAGGTGATGTTAATCTTTGCATGCATGGATGGCTGCAGTGTGCTTTCTGTCACATTCCTGTCTGTCCCTAACAGGTCATGGCCGTTAATCTATGCTGACACGATTTGATTAGGCATAAGAAAATGATTAATATTAGAAATCCTGTACATTCATGCAGATTTATGCATCTCAGAAATCATTAGAATGAACATGAATGTAGGAGTGATTTAATAACTTACCTTTGTTGTCTGAAAACCAAATTATTTTTATGGCACATGTAAGTAATTTTGAAGGAATAATTTAATGTGAACACTAGAAGCCGCTTCATGTCAAATACAGTGAGAGTAATTATTTCATAAATTCCATTAACGAGGAAATAGATTTGAGACTTTTGTGCAATACTATTTGCCAAATTAACCATGTAGAAATATTATACTTTTTTGCAGCTGTGTATCTGTACACATATGGCGCATATGCAGCTGAATACCATGGAGTCGCTATGCAAGGCTTTGTGTTTGCAGTGTTAGCCATTTTCGTCTGTAGCCATTACAAACATCTGATCAGCCTTTTAGAAAACAATCCAGCAACTGAGTCGGACTTACGCATATAAAAATTATTCCCATATTTTTGCAAAGAGGCCTGTGATATATGGGTTTATCTCAGGGGTTTTCAGCCTTAAACTTAAATGAGAGACCTACAAAAGAAAAAACAGAATTTGGGACTAATGGTAACTATGTAATTATGAACTAAGGATGGGGGGAGGTGCTTTAATGTTTCTTCTTCTAAGGTGTCCTTAGAATATATATATATTTTTTCATTCTGCATAAACCAAATGACTGTACTTAAGTTTCCTCAATTTGTGACACATCCCTGCAGTTCCTACACTGACCCCCAGGGGGTCCCACACTCCAGGTTGAAAACCCCTGGTTTAACTGATTGGTTCACAGTTTCCACTACACTTCTTTGAGGAAGAAGTAGTGGTGGGGCTTTTGTGGTGACTGCTTCTCCTGAGAGCTTCATCTCAGCTCATTAACCATCTCTGCCGCTGAATCTGCTGGTTATCCCAAGTCACAAAATGTTGCAATCTTCTGGCCCTGTAGGCCAGCCATTGGAGTTACAGTGATGTGAAAAATTACACATCTTTTGAGTGTTATTTTGAAAAGTAAAGCCAGACAACTGAAAGAGGGTGTACTTTCTTTTTCACTTCATTGTATGGATCATTAATCTTTTATATTGAAGGCTAACGTGCAGCATAGACTGTTGTACACACCTTATAGTAATATTGTCTATTTTCATATGAAATTTTAGTGCTTTTTTTGTACACTGGCAGATTTGTCCCCTTCCTTGCATGAAACATGGGGAAGACGAATATATATTTGCATTTGGTATGCTGTTGATCTAACAGATAACTAACCATTATTTTTCATATCGCATATTTTTATTTACAAATCTATGCCAAGTACTTAAATGCGAAATATATTTTTAGAGTATATTAAATGGAAGTCATTTCTGTTTCTTTGAGGTACGTCTATACCTTTTATATTCATAAAACATGCAAAGCAAACTGAAATGGTCATATGATGTGCCACCATTGTAAAATGACGAGGTTCATAAATAAACTCTTTGCATGTAGGCCTCGTGTCTGCCTCCGCTCCGTAAAGTCGCAGTCGCCGTTTAGACTCTTTTGCCTGTGCGTTGTTTTATGACTGAATGCGCAGCCCCTGCCAGTGTTCCGTTTGGGGGCTGTGGCACCTTCACACTGGGAGGGTTCTGTTGGCAGGGGGGTGCCCAGGTTTTACCGGCAGCTTGCCAGTCACTGGTGAAGGTTAACTCAGAGAGGACTACCTGTGCCAAACCCTCACGCCCCCTCCCCTTGCCAAAACAGTCTGACTTCCAGAGCTCATCGTTACAAAGGATATACATTTCTGAATCACCTAGTGGTATTCTGCTTATCCAGATCTCTTGCACCTCCATGGAAACTGTGCTGTGGGATAAGCAGGACATTATCAAGCAGATCTTAGTGCAGAGGGGGCTCTGCTTCCCTACAGAATCATCCGATTGTGACATCACTGAGAGGGTCTCGGAAAGCCATTATGTCCATTGGGACCGTAAATTAAGAAGTGCTTTCTTGGAAGCCATAAAGATATGAAGCCAGTGATATGAATCCTCCATCTTGCAGAAACCAGCCCTGACCTTAATCAAAGCTTAAATTCTCATTACGTTGTCAGGCCGCAGTAGCGATTTGGAAGTGGCCTAACTACCCAGTGTCTAACTACCCAGTGTCTAACTACCCAGTGCCTAATTACCCAGTGTCCCTACCTAAATATATCATGTTTGTTACACGTTTAGATCATTTGTTTGGTCCAATATCAGTGTAACCAGTAAGACAAAATAGTGCCAGATCGATATGGTTTCAAGTCTGTCCACAATCGGGTTTGGCCGCTCTTTCATTGACCGGGACTGTAGTCCTAAACGTTTATAATCAGCGAGCCACTGACCGCGGAGATTAAGCAAATACCAGCACGGGAAGTCATTAGAAAAATGCGAACCAGTGTGAGAAGATGTTCAAACTGAGGTAATAGACTTCCCACAGTACGCATTGACAGGCGTGAGCGACGAGAAATCAATGGACAATAGAGATGGAGGAAAACTGCTAAGCGACGGACGTGATGTTTTATGTATGGGAAGGCAGAGTATATTTCATTATCCGGGATGCACTGAGGTCGCGTGCGGAGTGCTGCTCCTCCCCCCTCCCTCTTGTGGCCCCTGGAAGCACCATCCGTGGTACCTTGGGGGCACGAAACATTTAAAATGATCCATTAAACACAACAGCCAACATTCAGCAGACTTACAGGTGTGTGTGAAAAGTCACTTCTCTGTGATCCAGTGAAACGTGGAATGTGCCTGTAGCAGAAATTAAATGAGTAAATGTTTACATAGCTATTACTTTTTAGGGGTAATAGCTGAAATATGCCGTCTGCAGTAGAATGGTGCCAAGTAGGAAAATGTGAAATGACAATGGATTTGTGTCCATTCCAGTGTAACAGGCTGGACTGCGAGCATCTCTAACCCTGCAGATTGCTGGGCGTTCCCCTATGTGAAAGCTCAGAGGACCTCACGTTCTGCACTCACATTCACAGTTTATGACATCATTTTCATTTTCCGAGAAGTTATTGTTCGGTAATTGGCCGCACAGATATTGCTGATATAAGTTTCCAAGACGAGTTTTGAAACCTCTTCGTACGCCAACGGGAATCAATCCTTCGAAAGACATCGGTGCATTTAAACCGGAAAGATTTACTCTATAGAACGGCGTGCTACAGGCTTCCTATAATTGCCGGCATTAATTAAAGTACAATTTAATCATGCTTTAGCCCGTGGCGTATTTTTTCTTCCATACAATGTACCAGTGTTACTCATCTGTCGAGATTATTTATACAAAACATTCAGCATGTCCTTCTCCGCCTGACACGTCGCAGCGGCCCGTCCTGCTTGATACAAAGCAGAGCACTATCACAAAGACAGTCAGTCACGATGCCAGAGTACCATCAAATGCGAGGCAGAAAGCACAGGCCACAGAACTCGTGTAGAGCACAGGCATATTTAAAGGGGCAACCAAGGAATTTGACATGTGGTGACAATTTGCAGAAATTAAGATCTCTTGGCTGTATTTTAAAGCACCTTCTGAACAGCTGGCCAGATGTTTCTCTTTGGGTCGGTGCTTCTTTCGCCTGTGCTATGACTACTTGTTATCTTCTGAAGCTGCAGACTGAGCCAGCTCCGCAGAACGGCCCGAATCCCTGATACAGAGAACCACCTGCCTTCCTCCCACTCTGATGGATGGACTTCCACTGATGGGGTGCTGGGCCCTGAGTACTGATGCTCTTGTAAAATGGATATATTATAATAAGCCAGAAATGTGACAGATAATAATGAATCAATAATGGCATTTCAACGCATCAGATGGACAAAGCCTGCTTGCTTACAAATAAATGACAAGGAAAAGGTTAAGGGGCATTTATGACGCACATCAGAAGACAAACTCGCAAAGTCAGACCAAAGTAATGCAGACTGGTCTGCTACCAGACATGATTTAATAAACTACTGTCAGTTAGGGTGTGTTTCCAGTTCAGCCATGTTCCCTTTGTGGGTGCCACTAAATTTCAAAAATCCTCAGTTAAACAATGTGGTTCTTCCAAGTCCTTCCAAATCCCCTTATGCAGTACGGATCACGGTGAGCCGACAGGCTAACGGTAAACACAAGTTTCAAGGTATGAGGTCACCAAACCCATGATGGGCGGGACACTGCGGCACTCCCGATCAGCTATTGGTTCAGTTCATTTCCCACTGGCTGCTTTTATCCATCCTCATTGGCTAAAACCTGGTGGGAAATGCTGCCAAACCTTTGTCCTGCCACAATGTGCACATACTGTATTTCTCTGTAGGTAAGATCACAAGCTCCAAAAACAGGGATGAAATTAATCAAATTACAGAAATATCAGATCATAAAGCGTAAATAATGTGATATTTTTGGAATGCCATGAGTGGACGGTCTATTAGTCGTCCCTGTTTTGGTCCCCTTCACCTCTGGGAATTCGTGCTTGCGGAATTCCTTGTGGAGATGGACAGAGCACACGGACATCTTCCCCACACACGTCGTGAAGCGGTGGACATAGTCCACAGACACCCTCCTCCACTACCCACTAGCCAAACCCCCAGGTGGCCCGCAGTGGTCCCTGTGCCTTAGAACAAGCCTTTGTACTCTAAGTGTGCACTTCAGATTGATGTCAGAAGATATTATATCCGAAGTGTTTCATTGCCTAGCCAAAAATAGCATCTGTGTTGTTTGTATAGTATGCATGGGCTTAAACGTAATACGCGCTGAATGTTATAATATGCAAACTCCCACTTGCTCCCTCCATATTGTCTTTCTCTTTGTTACACACACGCACACACACCTTTGCTCAGTGAGATGTCTTTGGAAACATGCAGCATCCAGCAGATGTCCATATTTGGTAAAGAAGGGGCGACTGTGACCAATCCCAGAGGGAGAAAATGTAGTTAACAAAGCCTGCATGCAGCCATGTTAAACAAAGTGAGTGATGAGTGAGTACTGTCGCCTCTGTAAGGACCGTCCTGGTAGCGCGGCTCCTGTGATGCTTCAACTCAAAAAGGAAATCCTTTCCAAAACCAGCCAATGGGAACATTGCACCCATGTCACTTTCACCTAAATGTGCTCCAGACTCGAAAAAAAACGAAATAGAGGCTGTACTAAAATTTATTCTATTTGTTTGGTGTGAAATTCAATGGAAAAATACTCTCATCAAAGTTTCGCGGAAGCAATATCATGTGGATAGCCAGTATGATTTAAAATTAATTGATGATACATTTCCGCGGTTCTCGTAAGATATTTCTAAATTGCATTATTTCATTTTCATTTTAGGTAGAATTTGGGTTTAGTGGGTTTTTTTTTCCACTCACTTGTTCTTAGTGATGAAAAGAAGTGATAAATTAGATGATGAGATGTGGCTGTCTTTAATTTACGGCACCACGATGAATGGTTTAGATTTTGTTTTCGTTTTTCCAAGGGCTTAAACTGTGAGAAAGAGACTGATCAAATAGTCTGCTCTGGCCAGTACCGAGGACAAACAGACTGATCGGCGTAACGATTTCAGGATCCACGCTTTTATATGACAATAAGCAAAGGATGCAATCGCACGTCTAACGCATACTCTAATGCATAATCGTGTTATTGTAGTGCGATTATATCAAGCAGAATACAATCAAACAGCCAGTGTCAGAAAGAAATTCAACAGTTGTGAGCAGCTTTCATCAGGATTCAATATCTGAACAGTATCGGTGAGCTTGACGGGATGCATTTACCTGCGAGCTTCTGGGCAGCAGCGAGCGCCTGAACCCTCGCCAGCGGCCGGAGGATCCGCCCCGTGTTCGCCGTCCGGAAGCTGCAGGGGTGAGGATGTACACCGGAGCAATAAACAGAGCGATCTTACTGAAACGCATGCAAGTTTTTAATCCAAACTGCAGAGGTGTTACAAACTGCGAGACTCTAATCCACTAGACGTTGTAGATACGTCAAACTAAACGTACAGAGGATAAAGAAGGGAATAAAGCATTTCTTTTAATCCCTGATCGTATATTGATATAATCGCTGTATTGTCCTGGTTTACATGCAATCAAAACTGTCACAAAGAAGGCTGCTGAAGAGGAACTGTACGATTTACGGCAGGGATCCGTTTTTGGAGATCACATTCATAGAAAAAATGTAAGTGATTGTAAAATAGTTATATTTATTAAAATAATTTTTGCGAAATAATTTTTTAAAAGAGCCGTTGTTAGAGGTTTTTAAAGCTTCTTTAAGTTACATGTAATATTGCACAACGCGTTTTTTGTGGTGTTAATAAATTTGCCGAGACTATTATGAATAAGGACAGCTGGCAGACTTATTGTTAACCTAACACTGGCGGCACTGGTATGACAGAGTGGTCATCAGGTGTAGCTTAATTTTTAGTTAACCTATGGGTAACTAATATTATATATAAGTGTTTAATGTTAGTAAAGTGTAGAAACTCATCTTTCAATTTTGTGAACAGTTCAACAATTAGCTACCAATGCAATTTAATGCGATTCCCATGCAGCCCCGATGCTGTGAAAAACCAACTGTAGGCGACAAGCGAAAAGACAGGACACTGCAGGTGATATAATGTTACCCCCAGCAATTCAATCCTTATTGTCCAGGGACCATGAGGGTAGCGATGACAAAGGCGCTGAACTATTTCAGACCCTCGTGGCCGCGCATCCTCCGGTCACGCGCACTTAACTTGCGCTACAACTAACGCGAAAAGTCCGAGCGGTCAGCGAGGTTTCCATACTAACTTTTCTATGATGGACTGTTATTGAACTATGTAACGTAACAATTGTTTGCATTCTGAAGAATATTTGGAACTGGAGCCCATTTTTCAATGCGTCTGTTGTATAATGTATGTAAAACAGATTGTGAAACATCTAACGGACATTTCCCCCTTTCTTCTATTCTTCTGTAAGCACGTATCCAATACAGGTTTGTGACGCTGTACAAATCTAACGCATTTAACATTCCCTAAAAGTTCACAGGTTCCTGGATTGGGGGACGAACACTTTCTGTTTGCATACAAGGTGTGAAAATCCAAGCTGGACTGAGTGCGTTTGTAGTTGTGCAGTTTGTAAATCCAGCATCTTTCTGCAGTGCCCTTCAGTTCTGAACCTGTCCTCTGACTGGAAAGAGGTATCAATGAGTATTCAGGAAATGACTCTAACTGAAAAAGAATACTGTCAGGCATGGAAGGGTCCCTCTAATTAAGGTGGTATGATGCATGAATAATTGATGCATCTTAATGATTCCCATTGTGGACCTGAAAGCCTTTAACTGACAGTAGTACTGGATGTCTTATTTGCTGAATGTCGCGTCTGCAGAGAGAGACAGCACGGCAAAGCACTTTCATCACTGGGAATAAGCCAAAAATCAGTGAGTTGTTTACATTATGGCACTATCACATGACATGTTGTCTTGTTTCAACTCTGTGCTGGATAAGCAGTGGGAATATGGATGGATATGTAGGCCTGACTCTAGCCACTAACCACAAGGCATTCAGACTATTTGGAGAGCAACTTTCCAAACATTAACCGTGATGTATTTAGGTTAATGGATTTACTACTAAAGCATAGCATAAGCCACTGGCCTTTTTGTGGTTCACATTTGGCTGCATGACCCAGCCAATAACGCGTCTGACTTTGGATCAAGATATTGACGGTTCAAGTGCCTTCCGGGTTAATAAATGACTTGCAAATAATCATTGCTGTGTTAATTAAAAATCCCAGCTGGTGTTAATGTCTCTGTTGGGGTAAACATCTTGTTCAGGATTGTCAGGGGTGTGATGTCACATTGTCTGCGTGTTTGCATACTTGACACTAAATGTTATCACATCTTCCACCTAATTTGAAATCTAAATTTGAAATTTAAAAATAATACAGATCTGATGCATGATGTAATTAACTTTTTAAGCACCACATTTAACTGCTTGTAGCTGTTGTTCAGTATCTTCCAGACTCACTCCTCCAAGCAGGACTGCTCCAGTGCAGTGACATTTCAGGTCACTGGCGTATTTTGCGACCCAGTTGAGCTACAGCTTCATCAGCTGCAGTAAACTGACCATAGCTGATGGTTCTTCACTGGTGGTCACTTGTCTAAGTGCTGGCTCAGGCAAGCAATCCCCAAAATATGGCCGCCGCCGTACTTGAGGGGCAGTGCAGAGTGCAGAATTTGTATTTCATCAGAAATAACTCAAGACGGCCAAGTATCACATTTGACTCATCAGTCCAAAGAGGGTGTCCCAGAGGACTCGCATGGCACTGGGAGATCAACATCTGATTGGTTGGTCCCCTCTCCTCTAGTTGCCTGGACCCACCTCCTCTACAATCTGATTGGTTATCTCTCTGAACCAATCATTTTTCCTTATACCCTCACAACATTGTTGTGTAAGTGAAACTCCCATGTGCGTGGTCTTACTGAGTGATGGTTTCCACCCCGTATCCCCGGAAAGAATGAATCCTCCATGTGTCCCTCAACAGAATTCTGGCCTCTGCATTTTTTTTTCTCTCAGGCTGTTTACATGTACTATAGCAACCCTCAAAAAAAAAAAGAAATCTAAATTCCGATTCAAGGTGAACGATGTGCAAAGACGCTGGAAATCAGGCAGTAAGTAGCAAGTGATATGGAGCATATTCTGATATGAGCAGCATTTTGGGTGACGAGCAAAGATAAATCAGCCAGGAATGGGCAGAGGTACCATGCAGCCCCAAAGACGCCCGGCACTCATTTCATTGTCCAGGTACCTCTGAGCTCAGGAAATGCCATGGTCTGTTTTATTTTGAAGTATTACATCGTTACCGTTGTAAACAATGTGGACAAAACAGCAAGGATTCAATGGCAGTAATACTGTACATTTAATAAAAGTGATATTGTATTTTTATGAATTATTGGTGCACATATAATACGTGCATATTAAAAATGGGAGTGTAAAGAACAAACATATCCATAGCAATCAGTGACGCAGAAAGGACTTCTGGGAAAACAGTCTTTGACTGGGCCGTAATATTATTAAATAACTACTGACAGGTGGCTGTATAACCCATTGTTTAGTGGATTTATTGTAAACATTGTTGAGTTAATGTTATGCCGCTGTGAAAGACAATTGTGTTTCAGCATATTACCGTTCAGATTATCTTTTAAAGAGACGGCACAAGTTAGCACATGGGCTTCTTTGTCCCTGCAGACCTCCTGGCTATACTGCCTTAACTAGCACCTGCTATTCGTTGCCCCGCCCAAACGCTGCTTCAGCCAATCAAAATCAGGCTGACATCCGGCAGTCGCCAGCCATGTGCTATAAGACTGCAGCGTATTGGTGCTCCTTGGAAGGATTGGTGGCACATGTGGGCTTTTAGTAGGGGGGTGACGAAACTGCTCCCAGTGTTGCTAGCGTTTGTCCTTTTATAGAAAAAACGACGGCCAAACACTCGCTTGGGCTAGATAAGCATATTGGAAATATCGTTCCTAATTATTGTTGTCGTAGCTGCAGTGAATGCAGTGAGATGGATGATAAGAGAGCATGAACGATTTGGTGAAACCTGCCGCCCGGATTCAATCTCCTTTCCCATCCGCCCCGCAGCCCGTCGTCATCTCGTCTTTGTTCACTTTGGGTGCATGATGGCCCGTTGGGATTTACTTCTTATGGCCGTGAGATGGCATCAGGGTCTTAATAACAGAAATAACAGGCTCCTCACAGGTGAACTGTGACGCCCGGCACCCATGTGGACGGTAAACCTGAAGCTGTGTGACGTCCTGAGCCTCCTCGGATGAGCGACTGAATAATGTCTTCCATCTGTGGGCAGCTGCATCGCCAACGCCCGCACCCCTACCCGTCAGCCGTCCCCCTGTGCCTGGGACGGTGGTACACTCTCTGGGACAATGTCGCGCTTGTTCAGAGCTGCACGCCGCCCGCCAGAGCCTGCCGAGGCCTGCCAGCCCAGTGCCAACTGCTGCTCCACACCCAGGTCCCTCACACATGCTCAGTCACCAGCCTTTTGCTGCCAGCATTGTCATGCCCATCTGTAGAAAGAGCCAGAATTCCTAGCCCATGCCAGTGGTTCTGGACACAGACGGTGTACAGGATTTATAATTTTTTTGCGTATATGTGTCTCAGATGATTTATAAGGTTTATGTTAATAGTGTATAAAGAAACAGTATAGAGGAAATGTGTAAGTATGTGTTCCTTATTAATTTGTCTTTTAAATATTTTAGCAAACCGTGTCCTGTCCAATGAATGGAGCTCATTCTGAAATGTGGTATTTTGAATCTGAACTGCCCCATAAAAGCAGTTTACTACACCCAGAATGTATCAGTATAAATACCAGAGGCGGACATTGTAGATCCAGAAAGTAAAAATCCAAACCAGGATTTTGTTTTAACCAACCAGTTGAGCATAAAGAATCGCAGTCACAGAGTACTCAACTGGCTAGTTAAAACAAAATTCTGGTTTGGATTTTTACTTGCTGGACCTGATTTGTCCACCTCTGATAAATACATGCATCAAGTTTTGTAAAAGTATACATCACATTAGCAAAAGGTCATCTTACACATGCATCCATGGTTATAAAATACAAGCCATTCATTTGGTCATTTGTGAAACAAATTGGTATTGTATTTATGACTAAGATTAAATTATGTAGCTGATTTTTTTAAGTGTTAAAAAATAGGGGGGAGAAATGCAACAAGAGCTGAATGATTGAAAGACTGCTATCTACCTTTTTCACCAAAAGCCTTTATTGTAACATTAATTGTGAGATTCAACAAATCGGCTGTCAATTCATGCATAATTAAGAGCTCTTTTGTAAGAACAGCCAGCCTACATGGCAGTGTGCCAGGACCTGGGACAACAACGTGGAGGAGATTCCTGTATTACCGCTGCCTCTTGAGGCTTGGAGGACAAACATAATTTGCCCGGCTTTGTGGCAGTGAGATCTGGCGGCTGGTGGCTGGCATTGTCCTTCAAGAGCGTGCAATGTTTGCTCATTCGATGCCCTTTTATTACTTGAAAAAAAACCGATGAAGAGAGGCCAGCAGACTGAAGACGCCCTTAAAAGCCATAAATGATCTCCCACACTGTTTATTATGTAGCTGACATCAGAATACAGGCGGCATTAAAAATTATTGGCCATATTCTTTGATGGTTTGCCTCAAGTGTTAAATGCCAACAGGATACATGACCTCAGTCCTGCCCTATAAAATGTTCCGGAATGCCTTATGGGCATCCCACTGCAGCCCACTGGTGAGGTACCAGCCCTATAATCAGCCTTACTACAGAGCCCCCTGTCGTTGATAATTGGTTCAGTCCATATACACCGGCATGTTCCATTGTAGCTCAGCCAGTTGTATACAGTTCTGCTTTTTCCCTGTGCTCCCAGGCAAGCTTGGAAAATCAGCTTCCTAACTGTGAATATGTTTAGAAAACTTCCAGTTGTGTAACAGATGCCAAATAAACAGCCCATGGATAGTATAGGAATTATATATCGCCATATGTCCGTCTGGTTCGTGTTACCGCGGGTTTACATCCAGCGATACAGCCCCAGAACTTTAGCGCACTCCACTGCTAAAACACGACAATCCCGTCCAAGTAGAATGAAAGAAAATCTGACAGGCGTGTGCAGAGGTGCGGAGGGCGGGGCGGCCCGTCGCTCGGACAGCTGAGCGTTTCGTACGCTATTTATGGCGGCCCGTGTGGTTTGGGGGCGCCTGTCTTCAGGCCTTACATGGGCGCTCCTTCTGTGGGGGGCTACTCTCTTACGATCCGCCCTGGCCATTCCTGCAGTAGGGAAAAGAGCCACACTAACCCCGGTAATCTGCCAGAACCTGGGGCTGAAGTCGTTTGATGAGAGGATTTTTGGGCCCCCTACAGCATATCTTATGGTATATTTTGAGACCCACCATGAATGTTTCTTCACTTAAACCCCTATAAAGCTTTTCTCCTCTGTTACACATTCCTCTCCCAAACATGCTCTCTCTCTCTCTCTCTCTCTCTCTCTCTCTCTCTCCTGGGCCCCCTTCTCTCTCCCCCCCCACCTCCCCCTCCTGTTCCTCTCCCCACATTTCATGTTGCACTTGATGTCCCAATAGGAAAGCACCGTTCTATATTTGTAAGGTCCTGAACCATCTCCATTACAGATGGAGCGTCTGAACTTTGCCTCCCTCAGAGTCTGCGCCACAGTGGCCCCGCTGGATTGAGAGGTCTGCAGCGGTGCCCCCCTCCTTCCGTCGATTCGGACCCCTCTGCCACTCCCAGGCCCCGGACCCTCCTCATCTGCGCAGAACCCCTGAAGCTGTGAGGGAACCTGCGGATAACCGCCTGACGTTTGGATATACCAGTGAGCACAGGAAGCTTACAGCAAAGTAAGTCTTCTCTCTTCTGTTTTGACATCTAGTTCCGAAAGCCAGAGCAAAGCAGTACAGGGAATCCTAACATCCTTAGGTAAGAAGCAGCCCTGCTGTTTACATATGATCTACATCGATTCACGCTTAAACTCTTCATGGGCTGTCATGCACAAAGTCCTTCGTGGGATGTTGTGGGGAATTGAGACGGCGATGAAACGCTGTAGATCAATCATTGCGAAGCTTGAGAAAGTGCTATATTTGGCGCCCAGTCCGTGTCCAGGTTGGGTCAGCCTGGGTCGGCAAACGCAGTTTTGAGACTGTAGTTAACCATGTGTGACTCCATCACCCTGTATTTGATGAAAGCTGTGGTTGAGGGCATAGGTTTGGTTTCAACATTGATCGGGACCAAAACAGTCCCAAATCTTTACGGCCCTGTAAATACACACAGTACTCCTACAGTATTGCTAGGGCAACCACACCCAAATCTACTCCCTAGAGCAAGGTTCCTCAACCCAGTCCTTGGGGACCACCAGACGGTCCACGTTGAGAAACCCTGCCCTAGAGTTTGCAGTAAGATAACCTTGTGTTGGATGATTTAGCTTGGAAGCCATGCAACAAATGCATAGTCAAATTCACAGGCTCTGTCCTGTACTGTTGTTTTTCAGCTTGTTGAACCTTGTTGTGCCTACACTTTGCATAGTAAACGTCCCAGAAGCGTTCCTATCTCAGTGTGACTTCAGTCAGTGCTGGCATTATTCCTCTGCAGGAAGATGAAACGTTAATTGAAGACCAAATTTTCAAAACACACTCAGTCCATGAATATTGCCCCCCCCCCCCCGAGTTTGTTTTGTAACTCGTGCTTCGTGTTAAAGGTGAGAGTTTCTGGTTTGCAGGCTGTAGTGCAGTATGAGGATGGAACTCTTTAACTCTGCTGGGTGTTAAACGTGAGAGTTTCTGGTTTGCAGGCTGTAGTGCAGTATGAGGATGGAACTCTTTAACTCTGCTGGGTGTTACTCTCAATTCATCCGTTCATCCACACTTATCCTGGTTATGGCCCAGGGAGGGGAGGGGGGTGAGAACTGTTATTTATCTCCACACATTTTATTCTCATTTTGGTATTTGGCATTTCCATCCACAATAACTTTGTACTCATCTCTACAGTTGATTCTTTATCTGGATCACTTCATGTTAAGTGCTTAGCTAAGTGTACTACAGTAGGACACTTCCAGAAAATTGAACCAATGTCCTTCTGGTTAAAGTCCTTAACCACTGACCGCAAGGCTCACTTTATTTAATTGTATGGTTTGGTGCACATCGGGGATCGTAGAACCATCTCCTTTGCACACCCACATCTCCACCTTCACATGTATAGGCTGCTGTCCCTTTTGTTTGTCCATAAGCTAAAGCTACAGAAGTGGGAGACACTTTCACGAGTGGTAAGCGTCGTTACATGGGCAGTAAAATCCACTGTGAGAGCGTAACTTTAAATGAGGCAGAGAATATTGACATTTTCATTTGGGCTTTTAGATTCTGGACAAAACATCTTGTTGCCTTAGTTCACGGCATCTGGTTTCTCTCATTGCTGGAAGCCTCCGGTCTGTCAACTGTCGACGCTAAACTGGCTAACGAGTGGCTACGTTTGCTTGCGGAGTCACTGGTATAAGCAAGTGCTTGGGGTGGAAGCATGACCCGTGAGGCCTCAATCTAATTCACAGGGCTATATTCCAACCCGTGGAACCAGATTATCTAATGCCGTCGTGATGACCAACTTCTATGCGTGTGTGTAGAACACATGACCGCTCAGGCTAATGGTGACATGTGGTTACTGATCTGAGCTACTCGCTTTAGAAAACAATAACACTGTATTGATAGTTTGAGAATCTAACTCTGCGTTGGTAGTTTTAATGCATGGTGATGTTCTGACGGGAGCAGTTCTGACATCTGACTGCAAGACCTCGTTATAAGATACATGATACATACCTTTATTAGCCGGCCTAGAATCATTAAACGTGTGAACAGTTCTTACTAAGAAATGCCAGACTCTCCATATTCTGTCCCGAGGAGACATTTGGGCAACTTGACACAAGGCATTGCACGTATTGGATTCATAACTGATCAGACTTTCAGCAGAGGATGCCCCCAGACTGGGGTCACAAAACAAAAGAAATCCCTAATAAGCAGACATAAGAAAACGTGTTTCATTATTATATTATATTATATTATATTATATTATATTATATTATATTATATTATATTATATTATATTATATTATACAAATGCATGGCAGATTTTTCAGGGAACATATTTCAGAATTTTTTCCCCTATTATGTATATTTGCTTGAAGCGGTCTAGAGATGTTCTCGTTTATAATTAACATTGACGAGCAACTACGATCTGTTGACTTACTGTACCTTTGCCCTTTAAAGTCGGCTCTTGTCCAGCAAGCGCACATCACTGCAGCATCATATATTTTCTGTTTAGATGTCCTTTTCCGGCAGTGGGCTGGGTCATTTAAACGTTCGTTCAATTGCAGGCGGTTCATTTCGCAGTCCCATCAGTTATTTGTGAACTGAATTGATCGTCCCGGGGGTTGGGGGGGTTGGAGTTTCTGTACTGAAAAAGGTGTTTGCTTACTCTTTATGACTGCAGTATGGTATGAAACCATCCCTAAATGCGTTGGTGGGGTCGATGTGTCTGACAACGCGAAGGAAGGAATACCCCATGAATAATTCTTGCTCTGGGGGATTCCCTTTGGGTAATTTTTGCTCTGGTGAGAAATATTTTCCATTTTATCATTTATATTTCAGACAGAATGTTATTTTGTCCCTGCCGTTTGCCCATAATATGAAACTCACTGCCTGCGATTGTTCCATTTTTTTTTACCCATGACATTGATTCCAACCAAGTCTAATAGAAGGTGAAAAGGTGGTACATCTGCTTAATTTCCACATGTGATTTACTTGTGACCATAACGCAGGTAATATGTACAGATATAATTTACTACAATAGGGAAAAACATATTTGCAAATGAATAGTTATTACTATATTAAAATATTGTTTGCAAATGCACAAATGTCCATTAACTGCACCGTTTCACCGTCTGATGTTTGAGTAACCTTGGTGCTCTGAGGCTTCATGCTTTTTTGTCACGAAACATGCCAAAATAATCTTTAGAAGCACAGTAAACACAGCAGCACAGCTATCCATCCATGTACATCGTCCTGAATGTGCCAGTTATTCCATCTATCCATCTTCTAACCATTTAGACATGGTCACAGAGGGACCTGGAGCCGATCTCAGGTGGCACAGGGCACAGGGCAGGGGGACACCCTGGATGGGATGCCAGTCTATCACAGGGCACAGGGCAGGGGGACACCCTGGATGGGATGCC